GGCAAGAGGTCCCATACATGGTGGTGGGGAACACAGTTATTGTATTTGAGTTATATGTTTTATGTACATGGCTCTATGTCAAGGCCTTCCCTCCTGCCAGCACCTAATCTAATTTAATTTATTTTCTCTTCTTTATCTATTTATTATTTACGATTATTTATGATTTTTGTCATTTTCTGTTAATTGATATTTTAATTTATTTTATTATAATTGTATATATGTTCCTGTTAGCCGCTCAGAGTGGTATAGATTTACCAGATGAGCGGGATATAAATCAAATAAATAAATAAATAAATAAAAATAAATATATGTTTCTGATTTTGTTATAGAAAATAAAAAAATTTAAAAAATAAAATTATGGATGTACATAAAATATAGGTAAAAATAAAAAGGAAGGTTGGGTAGGTTCTGAGTTATAAATGAAGTCCAAGTCATTGGGGGAGGGGAGGAATAAGAAGTCAAGACCAAGTCAAGTCACCTGTGTAACTTAACTCCAATTTGACAGTGAGTCCTGCAGCTTGAGTCCCCATCCCTGGTAAACAAAACAGTGATGAACCCCAGTGATAAAGATGCCACATGAGTCATAATAAACCAAAATTAACTATGGCGGAGAATAACCTTAAAAACTTCCTTGAAGAGGTCAGTTTTGAGCAGATTTTTAAAGTTCTGGAGGGAGGAGGCCTCCTGGATCTTCAAAGGGAAGCTATTCCAAAGTGTTGGGGCCACCACCAAGAAGCCCAAGTCTTCGTTGAAGCCTCCCTTGCCAAACTTACATTTTTAGATGACAGCTCTTAGACTCCAAAGCCAAGGAAAATTAGGAGAGTCTCATGTCTCATGCAAGAAAGAAAGAAAAGAGGGAGTGATTGGGTCAGCTGTAGTTGAGTGATGCCAAGAAAAGAATAGGACGGTTATGTAGATAATGATTGACCACTGCTTGTGCATGAAGAGAAAACTCAAGAAGCAATGGAAGAGGACTAAACCCTTTGTAGGACCAAAACAGCTCTCTGGTTGACATTGGTGTCTAAAATGCACTGCTGTGATTCAGGAAATCATTGGCTACACCATGTCGCTCATTCCCCCCAGTCCCACCTCCAACACACAGCACCTATTAGTTAACACTCTAGAGAGTCTGTCCTCTATGAGGCATCTCTCTTGAAGCAGTTGTTAGATTCTGGAGGGCAAGAGTGAAAGAGGAAGAGGATGAGAGGAAGTGATGCGTGCATTTTGTTGGGAGAGAAGCATCCACGAGATGCAAACATCTCAACAACTAGAGGCATGGATCTCATGGCTTCTTGGTCTTTAGCGAAACAGGGGCACGGCCGTGGGGATGGAAATCTCTCTTTCCTCCTTGCTGGAAGATTTCTCTGCATGAATTTTCTTTTCCCCAGGAAATCTTTCAGGATTTCTCAGGAGTTTCATGGTCATTCATTCATTCATTCATTCATTCATTCATTCATTCATTCATTCATTTGCAAAGGGTTTCCCTGGAAATTGCAAAAGAAATGCCAAGTTACGCAGGATTATTAGGAAGTCTACACAGGATGGCACCTTGCCTGCTTAGGGTTTACTGCAAAAGGTGTTAAGCCACATTGAATTTGGTCGTTTCCCATGGAGAACAAGATGCAAAAAAAAAAGTTGGTGAGAGGGAAAAATGAAATAAAATGTTCTCACAGGAAACTGAGTAACGAACATGTGCAGAAGAAGTCTCAGCAAGGATTCTTGGCATAGTGAGACCCCGGAGCAAATGGCTGAGAACAAGAAATGTTGCCAGCACTTTTTATGTCCATACCTTGAACAGCACAGATCTGTTTCGAAGGACTGCACTCTAATTCAGATCCCTATGTGGGCAAATGGGTTGATCCAGTATAAGGGAGCTTCACATATTCCTGGAAGAGAGAGACAACTATTTGCACATACCTTGTCCAGGAACCAGCCAGCTGAGCCTCCCTTGTTATTGTGGCCTATAGTGATTTTCCGTAACTTCCCCAGATTGGGTGCATCAAGGGTGAACTTGTCTTCTGCACCCTTCTCAAAGTTATCCTTGTCATTGTCCAGCCTTCTCTCTCCTAAGCAGCAGACATGACCAAAGAAAAAGGCAAGCAAACAAGGAACTGTTAGATACAGACGTTTACTTAGGCCAGAGCTGTGATCTCAGTAGCCCCGGAATGGATATTTCAACTGGGAATTTGAGAGTCTAACAGTTTTGACCTAACTTAGATCCTTGCATATCACCAGGTCACTGAGCTGCCTTCAGCCTTATGCCCTCAGGATGTTTTATCCGCATTCTGTTTTATCCACCGTGTGCCCGAGGCACACATCAGAGCAAACGAGACGCAAGACAGCCAGAGTAACTATCTAAACTTCAAGACAGCCAATGCCGTTTCACACATTTAATACAGTATTTCCAACGCGCCGCTTGTATACAGAACATACTAATGGGGTAGACAGGACCATATGTAGGAAATTTATCTCTGGTTTCCTTATGGCACATGTATATACAACTATATAGAGATGCCTGCACAGAAGCGCATACATAAAAGGATCTACAGCAGATCACAGCTTCCAGAGTATCGGATATAGTGAATTATTGTGGCTTGTTGTCCTCTTAGGATATAGTTGTGATTGCACCTAATTTCTTCCATCCATCACTCTTAGAAGTGCCCTTCAGATATATTGGAATATCATGTGCACGAAACTGCCCGGCTGGAAGAGTCGGGAGTTGTGAGCAGGTACATGCTAGGAGTCCAGCTTTTTGAAGGCTGTGACTCGCTCGAAAGCAATTCCCTACTGCTTTTAGAAACTAAGATGACAATATATCTTATAACCGAGTTCCAAAATGACATACCATGATGAAGAATGGGACAGAGCCTGGAAATTGTTTTTTCTCCTTTATACATTTTGGAAGAAGAAAAATTGGGCTGGAGGGAAAACAAATAACTTCACGTATTTATAACTAGCTTTGGGAACGGAACAGCCGGTCAGAGCAGGGTTATTGATTGATTGATTGATTGATTGATTGATTGATTGATTGATTGATTGATTGATTGATTCGTTCATTTGTTTGTTTGTTTGTTTGTTTGTTTGTTTGTTTGTTTGTTTGTTTGAAGGAAGAAGAAGCAGTCTTTGTTTATTCAGTTTCAGAACTGGATCGTGCCAAAAACATAACCGCAGTTCAAGAGGTGTTAGCCATGGTGTAAAACAGACATGGTGGCAACGGGCTGCAAAGGGGGGCGGGGTTATTTTTGCAGACATCAAGGCCACCAGAATTCTCTGTCAAATAAGCCACTCCTGGAAACTGCCATGAGCGGAGGGTTTTTTGTTTGTTTGTTTGTTTTTGCATTAGGAACCTGGCAGGGAGGCTCAGCCTAACAAACGTCTCTGAGTACCCTACAAAACCTCTCTGGTTTGCCAACTCTGGCATAAAACTATGAGGATAATTTGACTGAATGGTGTAGAAACACCATATTCTGTTTTTATTCTTTTAGCCTTCTCCAGAAGAGTGGACTTTCTTAATGTTTAACCTCGGAAGGAATTTTCCTGCACTGTTTCCAGCTTGACGTAGGCCAGGGGACTAGATTAGACCATTCTCTGGGCAACGAAGTGACTTCAGATCCCCTGGGTCCAAAACCCATAATATCCATTCCATGGAAGATCCAGGTTGAGCTTCTCTCTCTGTGACAATCACCTGTACCTCTTTGGCCAGGCACGGCATCTGACCTCTCCCACACGGTTTCTCCCACATTTCTCTGCTTCTGGAAGATCCAGGTTGAGCTTCTCTCTCTGTTATGATCACCTGTACCTCTTTGGCCAGGCTGCAACTAAACTCTCCCTGACCTCTTCCACACGATTTCTCCCACATTTCTCTGCTTCCCTGCATAGAAACTGGCCATCCTGAAAACCTTTCAGCCATCAACACGGGGAAAACAGTAAGATTGCACTGTTAATCAGTAGGCTAATTGGCTAAAGCGTTCGTTGGGAGACAACTCTTTTAAGCCGTGAAGGCCAAATGGAAATGGATGGATCTGCAAATGAATGGCAACCTTTTGAGTTTGGGTGAGAGGCTATCTTATTGCAACAAGCGGGGAGAACAGTATATGAAAGATGGCTTTTCCATCTAATAATAAATGGGTGTCTTGTTTCCCATAAGCATAAGAGTACAATATACATTTGCGCTGATCTAGGATGCAAAAGCATGTAAATGATTGGTTTATTAATCACTTTATCTTTAAAGAGCACACAATTAATCAAAATTAGATTATTTAATCAGTTCAGAAACTCTTGGTGGAAGTAGGCGCTCCACCAAGTAATGAGGCCCTAAGCATAATTTGCCTTGATTAGTTGTTTCAATATAGAGTCGAAATGTGCTGTGAAAAGACTGTTTTCTTGAAAAAAAATTTCAGAAAGGCAGCTGGGTTTCTCGAAGGATTGTTAGCTTCATTTGCACAATGGCCTGGTAGTTTTATTTCCTAAACAGGCTCTGGGCTTCATGGGCATCATCATGCTTTCAAGAATGGGGAGAGAATTGGAGGGGGCTACATTTCTCTGCCATCCTTGCTCAAAGAATTTAGGAGGCTGTGAGAAGCTGCTTCCACTTAACAAGCATGTAACGTGTAAAGCAGGTTTTGTGTAAAGGTTCCCCTTGACAATTTGTCCAGTTGTGTCCGACTCTAGGGCACAGTGTTCATCCCCGTCTCCAAGCCGTAGAGCCAGCATTTGTCCGAAGACAATCTTCCATGGTCACGTGGCCAGCTCGACTAGACACGGAACGTCGTGACCTTCCCACCATGGTGGTCCCTATTTATCTACATGCATTTTTACATGCTTTCGAACGGCTAGGTTGGCAGGAGCTGGGACAAGCAACGGGAGGTCCCTCCGTCGTGTGGGTTCGATCTTACGACGGCTGGTCTTCTGACCTTGCAGCACGGAGGCTTCTGCAGTTTAACCCGCAGCACCACCACGTCCCTCTAGTAAGCAGGTTAGGCTGAACCAACTGGTCTAAGACTCTCTGCAGAGTTTCATGAAGGTGAGGATCTAAAAGTGTGCCATCCTCGTCTACTGATCTAACCCGGACATCAAACCTTCATCTTGGAAATGATCCCCAAAGCCTCGTGCCATCCCCAAAGTCACATCAACCTCAGTTTTACAACCAACCCATTGTTGAGATGATGGATTTGCTTCAAACGCCAAAGGAAAAAAGTGTGTCTGAAAATATTACCTGTGTCACCGTTCTGGCCAAAGATGTTAATGAAAACATCAGCATCTGTTCCGCTGCCACTGATGTCGCCTGTAAATACTCTAACCACGTATTTGTTCACTGTATAGAAAAATAAAATTCCCATTAATACCACTGGACAGTGACTGATCTAAGCCATATAATTTTTAAGAAATTATCCACAGCAGCACAAAATCCTCCTTCATTAGTAATCCGCTCATGAAAATCAGCGCACCCACTGAGGGGCAAGGATCACTTGTCGTTTTCATGATTTGCAATTTTCTTGGCAAGCTGCCTCACCCATCCTTCAGGGAACTGGAAGAAAACACACACAGACACGCACACAGAGAGAGAGAGAGAGAGAGAGACAGACAGACAGACAGACAGACAGACACACCCTTTTCATGGATGGAGAGACTCCACCGAACCATGCTGTTCATCTCTCTGTAAGGACTTCACCAAGAAGGGGAAAGTTGGGTACTTTCCTGAACTATGAGAAAAGTTTTGCCTGTTGACCCAAAGCTCAGCAAGAAATCGAGTTATTTTCAAAAAGATTTAAAAAGCAGACAAAACTGTAGCATTTTCTCTTTGAAATGATACTTTATAATTCAATATAATCCAACCCACGCTGCTATACACTCCCCGACAACGTAAATAACCTTTGGAATAGGATCTCGATAGAAGTCCGCCAGGCCCCTCTCCCGACCCTCTTTTAAGTCTCTTGACGGGGGTTGGACCCGATGATCCTTAGGGTCCCTTTCCAGCTCTGCAGTTCTCAGATGATATCATTAAGCCTCTAATAGTAAATTTTAAGGCTCCCCTGATCTCATGCCTTACAACTTCTACTTGTCTCCCTATGGGAAGTGGGACATCCAACTGTTCTGAAAATGGCAATCAGTGAAGGCAGCCGTAAAACAATGGATCAATGTCGAAGACTCAGATACCATTTATTTATTTCACAAATTTCTATACCACTGGCTCTGTGCTGGGCGCTGTTGTTTTCTATTCTGTTTGCTAACCACTTAAACAATAAACCATAATAATAAATAAAAACCCTCATGCCCCACACCCACATTATATATACATCAATAAATAACACAGCTGACAGCATAGACCAAGATCCAGGTCTATAGAGCCTGTGTCCTGAGCACACTCCTGTACTGCAGTGAGTCCTGGACCCTTTGTGTACAGCAGGAGAGGAAGCTGAACACGATCCATATGCGTTGTCTCCAACGCATTTTTGGCATCACCTGGCAGGACAAAGTTCCAAATAGAGTACTCCTATCTATCTATCTATCTATCTATCTATCTATCTATCTATCTATCTATCTATCTATCTATCTATCTATCTATCTATCTATCTATCTATCTATCTATCTATCTATCTATCTATCTATCTATC